AAAGTTCAAATTTATCATAAATATTGTCCAGAATGAAGCGACAGATACCTTGCCAAAAACGCCTGGTGTGTTGAATCTAGTTATTGTGGCAGAGTTCTGACAGCATTGAGGTCCATTTCAGAAACTTAAGATTAGTCTGGTTTATTTCTTAAAAACTAAATCTGATGTGAGTTGGGTATCTAAGCTCTGTTACAAAACCTGATTATAACCTAGTTTGAACCAGCAAGCAACAGGACTATAGACTAATATTCACTCTATTTATAGAGTGAATATTGATCTAGTTATATAGTTTAAATACCATGCTATGATGTATAACTTTGACCTTTTGTATTTTAATCAAAGTAGACATTTTGAGTCGGATGGTTAACATAGGGGCATAAATGGGTATTCCAACAAACAAGCACCTCAAATACATGATATCTGGTTTTGGAACAGACTTAATAATTCATAGGGGGACGTTTCTGAAACTGCCTCACCAAATTTGGTGATGGCACTAAATGTCCACAGATCCATGCTGGAAACTGAGCAGTTCAAAACCAGCCAAGTAAATATCCAGTTTTAGTTATACAACAATCTTGCTGGGTAAAAAAAACAGTTTGACACCAGAAATAATTGGTGTGATAAATGTTTCCTACTTTCTTACCTTAGACTGAACATTTCATGTTTTAGGATCAGTTAAGATTGCTAACAGTTAACTATACTTAAGTGAAGGAATTAAGTATGAATAGTTTATTAATAAAAGTATTTTTTGCATTTATTAAAAGAAAATATTTTTGATAAACCTAATGTATCTAAAACAAGAGTTTTATTTTAAAACCATGGCCTGATTGAATATCAGTGAGGGGAAAAAGCGTTATGGGTGCATTAACGTGGTTTATGAAAATGTCTGTTTTCATTTCGATTACTGGTGTGTAACGTAAAATATTTAAGTTTGTATAAATTAAGGTAAGATCCACACTAAATTCAATCTGGTGGACTCAAGAATGCTGGATTAAAACACCTAAAAAACTGCAAATTAATTTTCTGTCCGTATCATGCATTTAGAAAATCCTCATCAATCCCTTTTTGTAATAGTAGAAGCCTTTTGTATATTAACCACATATCCTTGCAGAATAAAGAAGGCATCTTGAGTTCTGTCTCAGGAAAATAAGATCAGTTTTTTTTTTCACCTTTTTTTTTTGCCCTTTATCAGCTTCTGTTCTGAAATCTAAATTCCTTTCAGCTTTGAAACACACCCAGCCCATGCTATTGTTACAGACCATCACAACGTCCAGATGCTAAGCTTTCAAATGTCCAAGTACCTGCACTCGAGGGGGGTTGAAGCCCATGTTGTAGACTCTCCCGCTGGCTGGGTGGATCCAGCGGTCGCTCAGCCTCTCCCTCAGAGTTTCATAGGGAATGTTGAGACTGATGACCAAGTCCATCTGATAGAGATTGTTCAAGGCCTGAGCCTGTGCCAGTGTACGAGGGAAACCTGGACAGAAGGAAAGCAGAAAACTCTTACAAACCATCTTTTATAATTACACACATCCAGCTTCCATTGGATTTTTCTAATAAGGATTATACAATGAAACTAAAAAGGAAACATCAGTAATACCCTGTTCACTGATTTTCATTGAAATGGCTTGTGGCAATACTCGCAGGAAACAAATAAGTTAAAGAACTTTGTGGCAAAAATTTATTCCCAAGCTATAATGCAACAGGACAAACAACAACAAAAAAGGCTGCTCTGGACAACTGTCAGTTCAATAACTGACATGCAAGACCAATATGGATGCTTTACAGGTTAACTGATCAGATTCCTAAAATCTACTACCGGTAGTTTTAATATGTGCATATCTTAATATATCTCAAATTAACACTGATATGAGAGGCTTACAGGTACTGCAAGGAACACTTTATTTAAATGGTAAACATGTTATTCTCTTACCAACAAAAAGGTGCAGCTTCAAATATCAGAATATAGAATAATTAAATGAAATTTCAGTGACTTCATTCAATAAAAGTCAAACTCATTATATAGATTCACTGCACACAGAAATAATTCTCAGTTTCTTTCAGTTCATTTGAGCTTTTAAGGGAGCCTGGGTTGGTTTAATACAGACTTTCAAATAGTCGTCATTGGCCACATCATCTTTGGACCAGAGATTGGAATCTGCATCTTTTTAATATAAGTTTTCTTTCCACTCAAATTCAAGTTTACACAGACAGTAAAACTGCCAGGTCAGGTCTCTTCCCCATGGTTGTGTAGGTCATACAGTCAAAAAAAAAAAAACTTTTTAATGCAAGATTCTAACTTTCACTTAATATCAGATTTCTTTTTTAGCTGCATGTTTTATCTATTAAGAAAAATAAACTATAGTAGAGAATTTATCATAAGTTTTTAAATAATTTATTTTTTTCTATCATACTCTAATGAATTAAGAGGCTCCTGTAAGCACAACCCTGATTTGTGTCCTTCTTCACTCATCCTTTACTTATTTAATATTTATGATGCAGCGTTTAAACATTTACAGCTTTGCTTCATCAATGTTTGTCACAGCAGGTAATATTTCAACTATGAGAAAGCCTCGGTGACCTCCCTCTATGTTTGTATGTGTTTGTGTGTAAATGGGCGTGGTTCCACACGCAAAGTATTTTAACCAAACAATGAACCCATTTCTCTCACTATGAACACTCAACATGGTGGAAGACGTTACACCACACCCAGAGAATACAGACAAACCCAATCTAACAAGAACTATGACAAACACAATAGCAATCTTTTACCTCTGTGTACCCTGAGTCAAAAACATCTATTTAAGCTACCTGGATTTAAATTCTACATGAAAGGTAAAATGAGGTGGACTACTAACTTCAAGAGTTCCTGCTGTTCTATTTTCTTCATATACAGTACCTTTAGGGTCCCTACATGTGTTTTCCATGTCAAAATTTCATAGTATTTCAGACTACATTTCCCAGAGACCATTGCCCTTTCTAGCACATTTTTAAGTAATACTATATACATGAATATGAATTCATAGCAGGTATTTTCCACAATGATAACGCTCTAAATGAAGAAAACAGATATATAAAGGAATGGTTAAACAAAACAAATGGTAATTTGAGTGATTTATAGGTAAGCAATGGATGGATTGATTGAAAATTAAAGAATAAATTGATAAATTGCAGGCAGATTGACAAATGTACAATAGAGAAAAAGACCAAGAATTAATTGATCGACTCATTAATGGCAGGAAGATAGACCGGCATAGGAACGGTTAAAGATGACGGCGTCGGTTGCAATGTCCCAAGGAGCACCACACTAAAAGATACAAATGGACTAAACATTCTCAAAAAATATCCAAGGCCTTATGTTACTCTTCATTGCAGCAGGAATCCTGCAGCTCCAACAACAAAATGTTCTGAAATGATCAAATGAAAGATAACAGGAAGACAGCGGCAGAAAATCCTTTACATTCATCTATTCTGAGAAACAAACTCTATGAGAAATATTCTAAGAAAATAAAGGCTAGTTCAAAAACACTTGGGGGGGTAACACTTCTATAAAATATATATAAAATAAAATATATTTTGGCTAAAAAAAAAAAAAATTGGTTGTTCATTTGTGAAATATTCTAACAGTCAGCAAATTTACAATCCTTTGAGAATTTTTTTTTGCCCTCGTTCTTACTAAATAAAATTTAGCCAGAAAACTCCATTATCTTTTGAAAAAGGCAAGCACATTTTATGAATACTTTTTTATAACGACATTTATAGTTAAAAAGAAAACTATAAATACAGGTAAATAAAACTATAAATCCAATTATATGTTTTAGAAGAAGAAAAATGTTAAGACAGAAAATGAAAAAAAAGAACAAGTATTGTTGTTGTTTTATCAGTTAGTGCCCTTCTTCCATAGAAATGTTATGAAAATATAACAGGTTAAAAAAAACTTTTCTCAGGTCTTTATAGTCTTTGGCCAAAGTTAAAAAAGCCGTTATGGAGGGCATAAAAAAAGCCTGTGGCTGCAGAGCCACAGGTTGAAGACTCCTTGCTTAAAGAAAGAATGAAAGAAAATTCTACATGATCCTAGCTGTGGAATCTGGTAATGTGGCCATTAAAGTTTAGGTTCTGGCTCCATTCCTCAGGAGCATTGAGTTCAAATCTGGCCCAAGACATTTCACAGGATACCAAAGCCAGGCAATCCCTGAACTGGAAAAGTTAAATGATGCAAACAGCATAAAACCAAGTAAATCAACCACAGGATTGGTTAAAAAAAATCCACTGGAATAGTTAAACCAAATTATTTCCCATGGCTTGAAAATAGTCATTTAATAAAAAGAAAAAAAGGTTTGAAAATTAAACGAGCTGAACTCAAAATGACCACAAAGATTTTTTTCTATTGAACCAATTAAAGGGTATTCAAAAAGAAAAGTTTTCCATCTCAAGTGACTTTACCAGCCACCACTGTGAATGATTACTGCTCTGTCATAACATGAAAGGTACAAGAGGCTGTTTGTAATTGAGTTATATCAGTTAGTTTTCATCAATAATTAAATGTTTAAATATTCAAGTACAAACATAATAATTAAGCTTCCTAATGTTTCTGGGATCTATAAAATCAACCCCCTACAGAATGTGACTACAGAATGTGACTTTTATATTTAGTTGTAATGAATATATACAGACATTTTTCTGAAATTGCAGCAGTGTTTACATATGGTCCTGCTTATAAATTCACTGTAGAGATTTAAGGGGTGGCATCAGCATGGTCCAATCAGATTTAAGGGTTAGCTGGCAGTTCCCACATCCACCTTAAGGGTGTATGATATTTTATTACAATGATTCACAACAAAGAACTGAAACAGTTAGATGTAGTTCTGCTTTTTTCCCCTCTGCATTAGTTACATTTAGTAAGCAGATGGAAAAGAGGCAGAAAATGTAAAGTTTCTTACCATCTAGCAGCCAGCTGTGGTTCTTCAGCTGCTCCAGTTTGGGCAGCATCAGTCTGGTCATCACTTGGTCAGGAACCAGCATGCCCCTCTCTATGTAGGTCTTTGCCAGCACGCCTGCCTCTAACACACGACAGCCAAGTAAACATAGAGTAGAGCATGTTTGCATCTGCTTCCTGAAGTCAAAGATTTGAAGAAAAAAAAAGGAGGAAAAAAAAAACAGGAGAAGACAGAGCCTGGCCTGTTGGATCCACATCTGACCAGTTTCTGTTTCTGTCAGAGCAACCCTTAAGTTTGTGATGGAAGCAGTGGGGTCTCCTGGGGGTTGTTGCATAAATACTTCCAGAGTCACTGAGTTTAACACACAAACATCTTTAACTGACCTCAGAAGGAAAAACAACAATAATAATAAAGAATAGGGGCCAATTCAACAAGTCCCAGCTTTTTAAGAACTTGGTGATTAACTTTAATGTCACTTTATTCGTTGCTTACAAGTGGATTCAAATATTACTAGTTGGGGAATTAAATGAAACGTTTGTAGATATTATAATGTAGCCATAAACCATTATAAAGGCAA